TTTTTTTTTCTCTTTGGTTATCTAGCTGTATGAGTTTATGAAATATCATAAAGCTAGAGAACCGAATGTATAAACTAATTCTGCAGTCGTCACGGCGGAGCGAGCCGGAACCGGGACCGAGCGGGCCGGAGAGGATAGATGGGTGCACCCTGCACACAAGAGTGGTGGCTCGCGGCAGCGTCAGTACACCGCACCGACAAACGCCTCCTGCTCTCTTGGACGTCTAGCGGTGCAGAAAGGACCGACGCCACAAAAAACGGATTCATAACGCTAGATTTCTTTCACGGGGGACGCTCGGAGTGACAGTAGTTAGCTACCGGAGACAGGCTCCATTCATAGAGTGATGATGATGAGGAGGAGGAGGAGGCTGACTCGGTAGTGGTGCTGCATGGAACATAACTGCATTTTAGTCACTTTGCCCGTTATAAGGACATCTTATAACTAGTATGTTGTATATGTTTTTCTATTGACTGTGTTTAACTTGAATGCTGATGGGGAGGTGAGATTAAACGGTTTGTAGCTGAAGGAAGCAGCTGATTGGACGACTCGTCGGAGTCATGTGTTCCACCAGTCGCCCCAGTATCCCCTTGCTCCTGGCCTATCAATACAGTGATACTGAAAGGAGCTTTAACAAACAAAGCTAATGGCACTCACAGCTGGTTCTTATTTGTATTTGCAAGCTTGTCTGCCTCTGCAGATGCATGCTGCTTTGGTTTGTCTCTAAAAGATTGATAGTGGAAGCATTCCTGGCCATGTTTCAGGATGTAATGAGAAATAATCCCACTATCAGGTGCATTCTCAGTGCTGATTCTATATCTAGCATCAAAGTAATGTGTCACGGGTTATGAAGTGGATGAGAAAATAATGTGGTTCAGTAGGTGTTTGTCAAAGGGATCACCTTATATCCCTGGATTCAGCTTGATTGATGCCCTTATTAACAACAGCTTCAGTCTTCATGCACATGGAAGACAGAACAAAATGATGGCACACTCTGGTAGTTTGTTCTTAGGGTTCAGGATGGAAACAAGTTGTTGCCACTAAACAGTATTTTCTCTAATGAAAGATACATAACTGATGTGGGATGCTGTCAACATGCATACGCTTCATACCACAGATAAATGTGTTTTCAGTGCTCAGGTACAGTAGCAAGTCGTGCAGTGATTTTGATGGTAGTATTAAGGGTGAGAGAGGGTCAGCTGTGTTACCCAGAGACTGGGCTAAGTTTAATACTGTTTGGACTGCACATCATCTGTTCTTTCTCTACACCGTCCAAATCAGAGAGGAGCCTTTGTCTGGTTCCAGGGCTGCCTGAGTGATAGGATGTACTCTGTAGTGGGGCCTGCTGAATTTTAAACAAGCCGTTGTTGCTGCCAAAGCTGTAGCTGCTGTGTGGTGGCTTTGTCTCTGCATGGTACAGAGTGTGTGAGAGTGGAATGGCACAGAGCCTGGCAGGTACTATAGTATTAGTAGGGCCCAGCATACTGCGTCACAGACCAGGGCAGGTGGAGACGGAGCTAGCGTGGTTACTTAGCTAGGAAATATCTCAGCTTTCTTACTGACCTGTGCTTATGTTGTGCTGTAGGTGTGTTATTTGGAAGTGTTTGTATGTGTGTGTGTGTAAATGTATGACATGCACAGATGTGACATGTCTACAAATCTCAGTTGTGTGTAGTTGTAATAATGATGATATTAATAATGAATTCATTTTGAGCTGTGCAATTACACTTTTGGTAGTGTACCAAAAGTGTAATTGCATGGCACACAAATGAATGTTTTCATATGGAAAACACTGGAGTGTCAGGATACCCATGTCTCAATTTTAGTATCTAAATTAGTAGACTGTAATGTCCCAGTGAGGCAATATACATATGTATTCCTAATAGACTGAATTTAAACATATTGTTTAAGCTGTGATAAAAGCAACACCTGAGAAACTGGTTATAAAACTCTGTTTTATAACAGTGTGCAGAATCATACCCAGTATTTTGCAAAGCAAATCCTGTCTTATAATTGCAATATTAAGCTAAATCACAGTTTCTCGTATGATTTGAGTGGTGCTTGTACGACACCAACAGCACATCCACTAATTTAACCCTAACCCCAGATGCAGCAGAAATTAATGAATTACTGAGGGGTAATAAATGGAGGATATGGCAAGAGGCCTTTGAGATTGAAAATTGAGTCTGGCGAGTGACTGAGAGGCAGGCTAGACATCAGTTTTCCCACATTAATATGTTTCTGTCTGGGCCCTCTCCACCATCAGGAGAAGGCCCTCAACACCAGATGGAGCCCAGTCTAGTCTAGGTCTAGCCTACCAGCACCTGCTGTACTATACTTCCTATTGTCTTTGACAGTGATTTGTCAGTTTGTACATCTATTGGAAATTGTATTGTTTCACAAGCTTGGGTTTATTCTTCATGCTGCTATGATGGAGGAATTAACAAACAAAATGTGCTAGGACTGGAGAGAATAAGGTTGAAAATTATGAAGAAGAAGGTGAAAAAATAAGAAACTGGACGAGAAGATGTGTTTATGTACCCACGGCAAGCACTTTGAACAAAGCTGTCATGTCTGCAGCCTTTCCTGCTGGAGCGTAGACATATGTCCCCCCTTCACCACTCTCCATTTCTCTGCATTGCACTGCTAATATTTTCATGGTTTAGTTCTGGATGTTGCACAATAGCAAGCGGTGCTTGTTGACAAAAATGTCTGAACAAAACAACTGTCCTATACACTGTTTTATACACAGCAGAGCCATTGTTTCTGGTTTATAGCCATGCTGCATTTCCAGGCTACCATCCTATAGATGTTATTTTGTTTGTGTCACACCCGGCCACTGGGCTGCATTGGTCTGTGTGCATGAGTGTGTGTACACATTACAAAAACATTCATCCATGTGCTGTTATGAATGTATGTGTTGCTGCATGTTGTTACTGGACCCTCGCTGCCTCATCTTCAGTCTTTACTGAGTATAATACACATGGCAGAATACTACTGATTATAGAAGAGTTTTTTTAAACAGCACAGTTTGCTTTGTAACTCACCTCAACACTGTGCTCAAGATCACACTGTGTGACTTCCATTTTTGCAAATTTCTATCCTTATGTAGAACATTTCTGATACAGAGTACTTCCTGGAGAGCCTTTCCCTATCATTCTCTTTATTTTATATGCTTGGAGAAGTATGTTTTCCTGCGACCATCATTTCAAGGGAATGCTCAACAGATTTGACTCAAAAATAGTTTTTATAGTTTATATTTACACTTTATACACATGGCTGTTATTATTGTTGTTGTTACTACACTTCCTTTGTTTCAAATGTGACAGAGTTCACGGTTCATACTCTATTTTACTCCTTATCATCTAAATCCATATTCCAGTGTTATCAATTTTCTTTTATCCTTTTACCTTGAATTGCAGTGGCCTGTATAAACCTTTTCTCTGAACTTATGAATTCTGGGTTTGGTAGCCTAGCAACAGCCTCTGACCCATGCAAGGGAATGAGAAAAAAAAAAGAAAAGCTGACATGCCGGCTTTAAACCTGCAAAGGACGTCAGATTTCAGAGGATGTAATCTCTGAGTATTCTGTGTAATTGCTTGTGAAGTGTGTGTGTGTGGTTGCATATGTGTATGTGTTGAAGAGATTATTATTGTCATGTATTTACTGTTGACTTTTCAGATGAAAAATATGACAAACTTTCTACATAAATTTAACAACATAATGTGGCAGATTTTTTTTTATTGTCAAATTGTGTAAATTAGGCCTATTAAGATAAATTGAGTTTTTCTTTTGATTCAATTTAATGCACAAATTAAAATTGTCATTAATTGTTAATTCCTGTAGATTTATTTGTTAATTTTGAAATCTTAATTTTTGTCATTCAGTGTGCTTTACAGGCCCGATACTATTTCTGTACCTATACTTGTCTAAATAATATGAGGCACAGGCTACTAAAGCATCTATTTTTGCCTTTCTATTTGACAAACAAAGTTAAATTAAGCATATTATACATTAATTTATGATTTAATATTTTATCTTTAAGTCAAAATACCCAATACCTGGTCTTCAGAATGTCAGTTAATATTATACTAACAGTATTAGAATTTAAAGACAAAATGTTATTTTTAAATCAGTGTAACATACCTGAATGGTTTTCTGTGAGAGAGGCCAATTCACTGCAATGTGTGTAAGAGATCAGGCATGTTGCAAGTGAGGCTGTGACCTGTGGCTGGAATGAACCCTCTCTGAACGGAGTGCTTTCTGTTTTTACAGGAAACTGTGGAGTGCAGGCAGAAGTGCAATCACACAGAAACACACACACCACATGTGCCAGGCCTGTGCTTGAACCTGTAGGACCACAGGTCAGCAGAGACACACACAACGTCCTGCTCTCTGAGCAACGCTGGTCACCCACTGGCTGAGACAGGTCTCATCCCTGCAGAGTTACAGGTGAGACTTCAGAATACATACTCACACCGCTGCACTAAGGATTTGAAAACACACTTGAACTAAAACTCTTTATAAACTACTTCCAGATGAACCTGTTTGTTTTGAGGACCTGGTAAAATGTAGATTGTGCAAGAAAAAAGAATGATTTTAGCATAATTTATCTCTTCACTAAAGAGCAATGAGGATCATCTACCTCTCATTCTTTCCATGTGCACATTCTCCTCACCCTCTAAATTGGCTTGCCTTTCACCCTCTGCTTTATAAAGACTGATCCAATTTGTCAGATTTTTCAGTTTTGGCAGATAAGACATAGGATGGCCACTTGTGTATTGTATATTCTTAATTCCTTTGTCCATGCTTTTTATTCCTTTAGAGACACATGGAGTGGGCTTTGACCTGCTGTGTGTATAGGGTGTGTTCAGGTGTATGGCTAAGTCCTGCATGCCTCCCCTTTTTTGCCTTTCAGCATCCATGAATGTTTTACTTTTCTGTCCTCTGCTCTCTGTTACTCTCTCTCTCTCTCTCTCTCTCTCACACACACACACACACACACACACACACACACAGAAACATCTTGTTCGTTCTTTGCTTGATTACTGTAAAGGCAAAGTGCTGTTTTATTGTTGGAATGCAGCAGATCTTTGGCTGTTTGTGGTATTAGTTACTAGCCAACTTACTGTTTCATGGTATCATTCTTGTTATACACAAATATCCACACAGACAGAGATGTTTGGCCCCAGCTGTCATAGTTACTCTGCTAACTAGTTGGCAAAACCTTGTGAGCAGTGTGTTTTTATAACAGCATATAATGTTGAAAATGATGTAGGCTCAAACCAGATGTAGCTGAGAGGAAAGAGAGTGACTCTTTCCTCTCAGCTTCTCTCTGAGTGTTGAGTGAAGTAAAGATTACCTTTGCCATCTTAACTGCTGCTATAGTGAACCATCAATGCTGAGAACGCTGCTCAGCTCGTGCATGTTCAACCTCCTGCAGAGAACAAAGCAGACAGAATGATGGAGCATTGGAAATGGGAAGAGAGGGAGATGAAGTCCTGATCCACAGGACTGAGGTTCATCATCGGGGAGAAGCAGAAGAAGTGTGTTTTTTTTTTTTAATTTCCCTCCAGGGTGAGATGAGTGTTCTGTGACATTGGCCTAGTTCCATATCAGCATGCCCCCCCCCCACCAGAGAAGAGGTTGCGTTTGAGAATCAGACAAGGGAAGATCAGAGGTGATTTCAGAGCCTGTGGCTATCTTCCTTCATAGCGTTCGACCACCTTTTAAACCTCTTTTGCTTTGCTTCATCTCAATGAGGGCTGCCCGTCTACTTAGTCAATATCATATCCACAAACTAGATAAATCAATGCAAACAAGCTTTGGCTGGACATGATCTTTAGAAGTGGAGGAATAGCTACAGGCTAAATTTGACGCAGAGATACATCAATCCACAAGTGACACTCTTCACATCCTCTTTGTATTCAGGACTGAAATTAAGAGCTAGAATGCATGGGTTAGCATTCTTGTCTTAGCACCCAGTATAACATGTGCATTTGTTACAATTGTTCCTACAGGAGGCCGGAGGATGTTTCCACAGCCAAGCACTCTCATGTTTATGGAAAGACTTGAAAAGAGGGAAGCAGTAATCTGCTCATTTACAGTATCTCAGCTTCGGTCTGCCATCGCCCTCTCTCTCTTTCTCTCAAGCACACACATGCCTCAGTGTACCGTATCTCCCTCCCAACACAGTCCACCCCCCATCCCACCATTCCACCCTCATTTGAGCTCATCCTGCCATCACCTCTCCAGCTCCGCCACCCCAGAGAAACCAATTCAGACCTGCTCCACACCGTCATGGCATGTTGGCCAAGGGAGATGGAGTCCTTTCAGGTTCTCAGCTACAACCTCCCTTCCCTCCTCCCCTGGTTGCTGCCCCTTTGCTGCTTCTCAACATTTCCTCAACACGCCTGGCCTATCAGCAGGGTAGCTAGACAGTATGATAGGACTGCTCCTGAGAATTTGTTGGAGTTATTCTGCACATTGTGACCTTTTAAAGTTTCTACAAAATTGCATGTGGGTGGGCGTGTGTTTCATGATTCTGCCCCGAGTCTGCCTTTGCATGGTCATGCTGTCAGATTAGTGAGAATGTCTGAAAGAAACAAAGCCTGTGTTATGTGTTTAAACAGCCTGATTGTGGGGTTTATCAGGAATAGGTTATCTTTAATGGCAAAACCAAATACCCACCGCCCACCCATGGCTTCTCAGAGTTGGCAGTCTGCTTTTAACAGCCCAGGAATTTTTTCTTTACCAGACTTTTTAGATTTGTATACATAAACTGTGCTGCTTGGCTGTTTTTAAAAGCTGATTTAAAATATACCCTCAGCATTACGCAGATTGATAGGAAATAAATCTCTTCAAATGAATGGAATGGGGGCGAATGCTTAGAGGGGGCAGGCACTGAGTGTAGAGTGGTGGCATATGTTAACATAAATTAAAGTCTATCTGCAGAGGGGCTTAGAGACGGAAACAGACTGTGAGAATGTGAGAATGAGAAAAGCAGAATCAGATTTATAGAACAAAAATAAGTTGAAGGCATCAAAATAAACCTGTGGGTTTTGAGCATCAGTGTGTCAGTACAAACATATGGACAGTGTGTTTGGTTAACTTAATTATTTAGCATTGTTATAGTTGCTTTAATTCATTAGTCAGTAAGCTGTGCTGTTTTCCTTTACGTCGTTAAAGCAGAGGGCTCTGGTGTCTCAATGCACAGTGGTTGAATGGCAAGGTGGCTGTATTAAAGTTTGGTGGTAGCTGAGGTGGTGGGGTGCACCAGGGTGACAAACACAGTGCAGGAGGGAGGGACGGTGGTCTGCTGAAAGGCAGCAGGCTGCAGAGTGAATGGGAAAGGGGGAGAAAGGGAGGGAAGGATGGGGGCATTAGTGGCGGGAGGGGGGGTGGGGGCGGTGGGGCCTCCATTGGTTCAATGCAACGGCTGAAGCAGCTGTGAAAAGAGGTCTCCCCTTTTTCCCACGCCCAGTATGAGGCAGAAACTCTGCTTCTGCCTGTCAGGGTCAAGTCACATTTCTAACATATACACTGGGCCTGTGGACTTGCACAATGCATACACACAGTTCATTTATTTTATGTATGCACACAGACAGACACACACTTTTATGCACACAAGCGAGCAGACAGCCTCTCAGACAGAGACAGGTGGGGGGTGCAGAGAGAGAGTATTATGACACTGATTTCTGTCCCATTCACACCATTGTTCCATTTTGGATCCTGCAGAATTAACATGCTGCAAATTTTGGTGCCCATACACACATGCAGATCTGAGCACTACACCTGCCATCTCTGCATTTTGAGTTTCAGGTTGTCAGGTGAAAGAATCTCAAAAAAGAAAACTGTAAAAAAAAAAAAAGAAAAGAAAAGAAAATTTAGAAAAAGAGATGGGTTGTTTTGTACATTTCTTCCATTTGCTCCTGTGTTTGTCTGACTTCATTGCTGCCATGTTATACTTACATGAATATCTTGTATACTTTGACTAAGGCACTATGTCTGTTAGCATGGATGTGTTATCTACTGCCACATCTCAGCCCCTTTCTTGTCCTTACACATTTACATCTCAGTCACCGTTTACAAACTATAATCATATTCCAGGGAGGGGGATGTAAATGCTTTGTCCTGACACTGCCCCCTACCCCCCACCTCCACCACACACACACACACACACACCCACCCCCCCCACCCCCCCAGTGCCAGATGCCCTCTTGTATTGTGTGGCTTCTGGGGGGCAGACAGGCAGCCCCCACCACCACCACCATGATGTCACCCTACTTGTCTGTCTGTCTGTCTGTCAAGGCTTTGACAAGAACTTGAGTGTAGGAAGGAAAAGTGTTCAGGTTGGGAAGGGGGGCGGGGGGTGATAGAAGTTCAAGAAGGGCTTGAGGATTGTGAGGGGATTTTTTTGTGTGAGGGAGGGAGAGTTTGGGGGATTTGTGTGTTGGGATGAGAGTGTCTGGCCTGAAAGGTCAGTGCGTGGACTTGAGCATGGAAAGAGAGAGTGTGTTTGGGGTGAACTCTCCTAGCAACTCTAAAGAGAAGTGGTATTTAGATGAGTCTGTTAGCTTGTGTATTCTGTGTAGATCAGTGCAAACTCACTGGTTAGCCCCACAAAGGGCCTGAAGGTAGGAGGATATAAAGAAAAAAGGGAAACAAAAGCGCCTGTTTTCACTCTCCCCTGTTTCTTTTTCATGGATTTAATTTCTTCCATAATTGTGCACAAGTGTGATAAAGTCAAGGCAATGTGATGCTAAATAGTCTAAAAGACAGTGTAATGCATGATGTGATGTTTTGATATATCTACAATATTACTCATAACACCAGAATTCATTGCTTTCTTTAAATGAATTTGACAAAATACTGGTCTTTGTGAAATTATGTGATAGTTCAATGTCCAAAGTGAAATTATGTCCTTTGTATTTTTTGAAGCATGCGAGTTGAAGGCACTTTTAGTCCAAATACCCTGACTCATTCCTGGATCAGTTCCAAAATTACTTCTGCACTAGTTTCATTATATGACTTGACCTTTTTTGATTTATATCATGCTGCTTAGTTAAACTGTGCTGTCATTTTTCATGTTTTCATGTAGGGTGAGTGAGGCCAGCACTCAATTAGGTAGACTAAATGAACATAAAAACAACCATCTGTAATGTTTGTTGGCAACATAGATGACATCAGAAAAATTTGAAGATGTCCTCTGTGCTTGTTTTATTATATTTAAAACACTTTTAAAAATAATATGTGTCTGATGAGGTTTTCCAGCTAAAATAATTCAATTATTTTGTTAATAATTATTTAAAGTACTGAAATGTATTGAAAATTTCTTCTACTAGATATGATATCTCTAATTCTCTTAATGGACCACCATTAGCCTTCAAACTAGTTTTGATGTTTTGAAAATCCTGTACATACGGTCAAATCTTAAACTGAGATTTAAGGTG